TCTGAAGAGTTAAAAGTAACTACTGAAGTAAAACAGGGTATTTTACCACTTGCAGCTTTTTGTTTCCACTTTTGCTAATTCCGATTAGTTCAGGGTTATAAAGCATGTCATCCTATTAGGGAGTATTCTATTATCGTGATCATCTCTCAAGCCTTTTCATCGTTTACCCCTTTCTCTTTTCTGAGAAATTCCAACTACAGCTGTCAAGGCCAGATCTTTTCTGTGAGTTAAGATGAGCTGAATTTACTTTCAAACACACTTTTAATTCTTATAAAGAATTTACTTTCAAACACACTTTTAATTCTTATAAAAACACCATAAAGCCGGGAATTTACCTCAGTGGTTCTGCCACCTGCCTCACAAGGACAAGGTCCCAAGTTCGATCTCCAGTACCAAAAACAAACAAACAAACAAACACTCTAAGACCCAGGCAGACAGCGCCAAGTATTTGCCAAGAGAAATGAAAACTTATACTCAGGAGGCTGAAGCAGGAGAATCACTTGAGCACAAGGGCTCAAAATTAATCTGGGCAGGGCTGGGGATTTAGCTCAGCGGTTCCGGCGCCTGTCCCCCAAGCGCAAGGTCCTGAGTTCGATCCCCGGTACCAAAAAAAAAAAAAAAAGATTAATCTGGGCAATACAGCAAAACCAAAACAATAACAAAGGGCTGAGGATTTAGCTCAACGGTGCCACTGCCTGCCTCCCAAGCGCAAGGTCCTGAGTTTGATCCCCAGTATCAAAACAAAAACCAAAACCTCATATTCACACAAAAACCTACACAGTACACAAATGCTAACAGCAACTGTTTTCATAATCACCAAAAATTGGAAAGAGTTCTAACGTCTTCTAGTGATGAATAAACTGTGGAACATCGACACAGTGAAATATGATACTAACCAGCAATAAAAAAGTATTGACACATAGAATAAAGATGAATCGTGTTCGCTCCGGCAGCACATATACTAGAATATAGATGAACCACATATGAATTTTTTTGGTTTGGCTTTTTTTTTTGACACAGGGTCTTGCTTTGTAGTCCAGGCTAGCCTTGAACTTGCAGTGATCCACCTGCCTCAGCCTCCAGAGAGCTGGGATCACGAGCATGTGCCACCATGCCCAGCCATTCACAAATGCCATTTTGCCAAGAAGCCATTTATATGACATTCTGGAAAAGACAAAACAATAGGAACAGGGCCAGGGATTTAGCTCAGTGGTTCCGGCGCCTGCCTCGAAAGCACAAGGTCCCGAGTTCGATCTCCGGTACCAAAAAAAACACACACACACAAAAACAATAGGAATAAAGAATAGTGTTCCTATAGTAGGACACTGACTGCCAGGGGTGAGGAGCCAAAATACAAAGGGGCAGGTGGGTATGGTGGCACATATAGTCCCAGAACTCTGAGAGGCTGAGGCAGGAGGATTCCAAGTGTGAGTTTAGCCTGGGCAACTTAGCAAGGCTGTCTCAAAATAAAAAAAATTAAAAAGGGTTGGGGATATAGCTCAGTGTGAAGGCCTTCAGTTCAACAGGGAGACAGGGGGCACAAATGACAATGAGGCAGCAGAGGAAATTTTGGCATGATGGGATTATTATGAATTGATTACGATGGTAAATACATGACTATACATATGTCAAAAGAACTGTATGCCATAAAGTAAATTTCACTGCATATAAATTAAATTTTTTACAAGGTCATTCTTGTCTGACACAGTGGTACATGCCTATAATTCCCACTACTCAGGAGGCTGAGGCAAGAAGATTGATAAATTCAAGGTCTGCCCCTGAGCAATTTAGAGAGACTGTCTCAAAATAAAATTTTTAAAAGGGGTGGGGATGTAGCTCAGTGGTATAGCACTTGCCAGCATGTACATGAGGGCCTGGGATCGATCCCCTGTACTGTAAGTTAGCTGGGCATGGTAGCACATGCCTATAATCACAGCACTCTGGGAAGCTGAGGTGGGAAGATCGAAAGTTGAAGCCTACTGTGGGCAATTTAGCAAGGACAGCTTCCAGATAAAAAGCACCACTGATGTACTTTAGTGCAAAAGGATTCAATCCCCAGTACCACCAAAAGAAGAGTTAATTTTTGCTGGGGACAGTGGTGCATGCATATAACGCAGCAGAGATAGCAGTATCACAAAAGCGTAGGCAATTCAGTGAGATCCTGTCTCAAAATAAAAAGGGATGGGGGTACAGCTCAATGGCAGAGCATTTACCTAGCATGCACAAGACCCTGGGTTCCATCCTCAGTATGACACACACGCAAAAGTCAATTCTTTAACCATGATTTATTTGGTTAAAGATTATCCCTAAAATATAATTACCACAAAGGTACAGATTTCTGAAGGGTCTATCATGGCTGCTATTCTTGTTTTGCTGGTGCGTATTGGAAGAAGAGTTCTTTGAGGATTGAGGAAGGAGCAACCCAAATGTCTTTCAGATCCCTTCAGCTTCCCTTGTACCGATGTCCTTTTTAAGGTTCTACATGAGGGCAGCCTCGGCACCAGGTGTGCATAGTGGAGTTCTACGAGGGATAGGAGAAAGGTTATTCAAAAGCTACCGAGGACAAAAAAAAAGCCACCTAGGACAAACTGTACTCCACAGCAAAGCCCAAGAAAGCATTTCAATGGAACAAATTCATCCAAGTCAAAGGTATAAGCAAAATATTCCACTTACATGTTGGCTACTCCTTCCTAGACCTTCCTTAAAAATGAGTCAAGTGGGGGAAGGGGGTCTCTGAGAGGAAGGAGGAAAGAGAACAGAGGGCTCCCGAAGCAGGTTAGGCTGAGATTTCTCAAAGCCCTGCATCCAGCGTTCCTTACCAGGGAAAATATGACTCAGTTTCAGGCAAAAGATAAAACAAACAAGGGTTCAACACCCAGTTACACTTTCTTTCCAGTATATTCTGGGCCAAACCCACACATTCCTGCAGCAAAGGGAATGGCCCACAGGTCCTCCTCAGAGACTGCCCCAGGCACTCCCAGCCAGGCGCCAAGCTCAGGCTCCAGCACAGGCCCCAGGCCCAAGTGTGGGTGCCTCGGTGTTCCTTCCTGGCTCACTCAGGAAGGAGCATGCCCTTGATTATTCTCCGCTCAGGGTTCTTCTCCAGGAAGACCTGGGCCTGCCACATTGTTTTACTCCAGCATGAGATCAACACCTGGGGCAAGCCCCAGTGCAGAATGAGCTCATGGCTGCTGCCTGAAGAGCCAGCTTCCTAACCTTCAGCAACATTTGCAGCTGGAAAGACTGGCTTAAATGCAAAACGAATGCTATTTTCAAGAAGACTCTAGGGGGAGGGGGAAGAACAAAGCTGAAAACCTCCAGGAGAGTAAACCAGAACATTCCATGACATGCTGTGCCTAAAAAGGTTTTTAAAATATTTTTCTCAAGAAATAATCATTGCAAGGGGTGAACTGTCGAAGTTAAATAAAAATCACCGACTCTACAAAGACAAGAATGAAGGACTAAATGATAAAACAGCTTATTGTATTAAGCTAATTAAGGTTTATCATATTAACCATCTGAGTTTTAGTTGGCACCATAAATGCAGGAGCAGCATATCATGCAACATGGATTCAGATCTGCTATGCAAGCATATTTCTGCCACAGTCATCCACAGAACCTCTGGCAGTCGAAAATGAGGTAGAATTGAAAACCAATTTTAGCACAGTGATTTGCAAAGAATTTTGTTCCATCATGTAAGCTATTTACTGGTATATCCGTCTGAGATTACATTTATCTCCATTAAATACTACATAAAGTATTCCAAGCTAACCATGCACTCTTGTTTCTCCTTTTGCCAGTTTCATCACACAGGCGATGTTCTGCAGCCAAATGAAAAACATTTCAACAATAAAAACCCTTGCATAGTTAACACCCTTCACTGCAGATATGCCCACCAATTGCCAGCACAAAACTTAAGCCATTTCAAAGATCCTGGGCATTTCTGAAAAGACTATTCTGCTGAACACAGGAACAAAATACCCACTTCAAAATGAGGGAGAAATTTATTTGCAATCGTGTCTTCTATGAGCTCCTCTTGACTGTACCTCTACCAAGCCAGCAGAAAGGCAGAACCAGTTCTGTTGCTGAGCTCATGTTGGATCTGACTCTGGAGTGACTGGTTTCCTGTTTGGGGAAGTTGCAATTCTTTTCACAAGGAACCCCAAGGCAAAATGTTTAGTGTTCCCCTGAAAGCTCCCACAGCCTTTGTTCTTCACTTTGCTACACTCCTTACCGCTTTCTCTTCTCTTCTCCTGCTCTCTTCTATTCCCCAACCTCTGGTTTGGGAGGGTACATGAAAATGCCAGCTCAAATCTAACTGCAATCATCTGAGGCATAGACATTTCTACCACCCATTACAGTAAAGCTGTGAGTTAACAGGCACCTTTGCACAGATGAAGCCAGACTACCCGATTTCCTCCTGGTCTTGCATTAGTATTCTACATTAAAATGTATGCCACAAATAACCCAATGGCAAACTCACCGTCAACTGCCCCCAAAATCAATAAAAGACATTCCACCACTTGACTCCAAGTGAAAAGCCTTTCAGGTTAACACAGAGCATGGTAAAAGAAAGGTGATGAATGAACAAAAGGCGAATCTACCTCCAGGCTCCTCAAATCCTAAAAAGGTGGCTAGGCTGCCTCGATTTGGTGAAGCCCTTCCTTTTCTTACAATCATCAGGAAAACGCTCCATGTGTACTGCTTCAGCCTTATGCAAAACAGCCTATTCTCCACGAGGCCCTACCGCCTACTATTCTCTAAACTTGCCTCTTTCCAGGCAGGACATGCGATTTTAATGAAGGCATTCAGATTTCACCTTGATAGCAATACCTTCAAAAAGTCACTCGAAATCCCATTAAACGTGGAAAACATTAAGAGTATTTCTTCTCCACTCTGAACCTGGTTTTATCTCCAGGGTATCAATCCACTGTTAAGTCTGTGTATGAATGGATCTGCAAATAAATGCTTAAATTCATGCTCAAAATAGCATATCTCACCTTGTGAACCTTGACCTTTTGGAAAGACTTTGGATCAGTGTTCAGTTACTGTCACACGGTTGCATTCTCTGCAAATATGAAAGGGTTAAAAGCAGCCCCAGTCAACAGGCCTACAAGGGAAAAAAAAAGACAGCATGTATGGCTAACAGCATCATTGGAACGCATTTATGCTCATTTCCTAGAACAACATTGTTACCTTTTGGCCTTCATAATAGTCAGAAGTATCCCAAACACCCTTTAGTAGCTTCTAAAAGGAAAAGCACAAAACAGAACATACCCTGCAAGAGAAAAAAGGCATGCAAAGTAGCATTCTTCAGCAACAAACAAACTACCATTACAAATCCATCAGTTCATTCTGGTTTGGTTTTGTTAAAAACAGAAAGAGAGAGAGAGACTGCATAAACCAAGTGTCCCCACCCTAGCAAGGCACATTTTTTTTCTTTAATAAGGGTCATAAATCTCAGCTCCTTGTCCATCCCTTAAGCAAAAGAAAAAGGCAGGAAAAGCCCAAGTAATCTCAGACCCTGCAAACCTGCACCTTTTTCCCCATCGTCTCTATAGAGGATCTTTTAGGGCTCCATTAGTCACGTACCAGTGCTGTGTGGTGTCTAAGTGTGCATTCACATACTGTGTTGGGATGGCACCTTCCTGCAAGCTCCTCTGCTTTTGGCTGCCATGAAGGGAGGAAGCTGCTATCCCACTGTAGTAGCTCAGTGACTGCATTGTGTTCAGGAGCTGATCTGCCTCAAACCAGTTTCAGCCGGTTCTGGTCACCCTACATAAAAAAGCTATGGCAACCCTCGCTGAGTTGCCAACAAGTCCCTGAAAATCATCAGCACCAGGGGGATCTCACTGGGGGTTACCTCTCCCTTTGAGGTCTTTCTGAGGAGGGGAAGGTCATCGTGTGTCCCCACCACCACCACACAAGCAAACAGCCTTGGAAATGCTCACCTCACCAGCCCCCCAGAGCCCCTTAGGGCGCATTCCCCCTCCCCTCCACCCCGAAGCCCTCCAGACACTGTTTCCCCCTCCTTCTCCTTCCCCCACTTACCTCCCACAACCTGGCTCAGATCTTTGTGTACGTGTGTGTCAGTGTGTGTTCCTTGTGTTGGTGGCTGACAAAGAGCCCCCAAGAAAGCAATCTATGTGTGTCTCCTCACACAGGATGCGTCGGCTGCGAGCCGGCCTGGCCTCCTAGCAGAGCGGTGCTGGCTTGTTGACCAGGCTCCTCTCTGCCTGTCACCCCCACCCCACCCAGCCCCCTCCTCCCTTCCGTCCTTCTCCTTTCTCTCCCAGCCCTGTCACCACCACCAGCAGCCCCCCCAATCTCTTCCTCCTCCTCCAACCTTCTCTTCTTTCAAGCACCTGGGGTGGGGGGGAGTCCAAATCCTTTCATCTCGGGGTACAACACTGGGGATGTATGGGGCGTGGGGGACCAGTGAAGCAAAGCAGTGGGGGAGAGGGGGCACACCGAGGCCTTGCTAAAATCATCTGTACACAGCCAGAGCTGGAAGGGGGAGGCAGCGGGCCGGCGCTCACGTGGCCCCCTCTAGAACCGGTGGGGCCTAGCCAAACTGGCCCTTCCTCGGGCCCCCCAAGGAAACCGGCGGGGCGCAAAGGCCAGCTGTCCCGTGCGCGAGGGTAGAACAGGCCACTGCAGCAGGCCGTGGGGCCTGCGCCTCGCGCGCTCACCCCGACCCGCAGGGGTGGCACGAGGGGCCGGCGCCCCTGCCTCGCTGTCCCCGGCGCCCACCCGCGCCCCTCGCTGCCCGGCCGCCCCGGGTTGCCCCCGCGCAGAGGCGAACACACACCCACCCCCTGCCCGGGGTTGGCCTCTTCGCAGCGGTCAAGCCCGGGCGTCTGGGCCGCAGCTCGGATGACCTTTGTTCTGCGCGGCGCCGCCGGCGGCTGCTGCTGCAGGGGCCGTTGCTGCTGTCGTCGGAGCGGCGGCGACGGCGGCGGCTTCCATGTTACGGGCGTGTCGGCTGCATTCGCGCTGCCGGGGTCTGTGTGTGCGTGTGCGGTGGAGCGGCC